AGTGCCACTTTTGAGTGTTTCTAGCATTGTGACACGGCGCGCCATCTTCCTGGAACAACGTTGTGTTCTTGTCCACGAAACCCGAGGAATAAAGTGGCAAGAGCCCTTCCTCCAATATTTCGACGTATTTCGCAAAATTTATGTTGCCAACACACTCCACTAAGCTCGATCTCCACCAACCCAAACAGCTCCCCAAACCATCACGCTGAAACCACCATGCTTCACAGTTGGCTGCAATCTGTTGAGCCAAAACTCTTGGTGAGGCAATCTCCAAGACCCATATCCTTCCACTGTGGAGAATCCGTTGAACAGATTTCGGGCTCATCCCACCAACTTTGGCCATTTCTGCAGTCGTTAATCTGGGATCCATTTCAATGCTCCTCTTGACAGCCCTTTTTGTCCTCTCCGATGGACCAGGACGACCCGGACGCTGCTCAGTTGTTTCCTGAACTGGACGATGATGATTCTGTTGACTGTCGAAAGCGGGATTCCCAAATTCTGCGAAATTTGCCGCTGACTTTTTCCACCATCTGCTTGACCAACTATCCTTCGTCTAACAAATTCTGACAATTCCAGAGAAACTTGAGTTCTAGGCATGTTGTAGAAGAAGGTAATTAGTGTGCGGACCATTTTCATTTATATAGTGCTCTGTGAACACAAATTAGTTAGCATAAATCAGTTAAATGACGAAAAATTAGGTATCTATTTACTTGTGACCACTCAGTGTACACTAATAGCAACAACACTGTCTGATATAATAAAAGAAAAATTCACATAAACCTTGTTGTACATCGTTTGTATCTATAATAATAAAAGGGCGTGTCTGTGTAAATATCATAACTCCAAGTGAAAAGAACCTAGAAACCCAAAATTTTGCACTCATACTAAGTGGACTCTGATGGTGTGCACCCGAGTATTATTAGGTATCCACGCACGTGCGTGAGAGCATCTTTTAGTGAGGCAATCTAGCAAAAACCACACAGAAAAGAATATGTAACCTCCATAGCTCCAAGAGCAAAGAACCTAGAAACCTGAAATTTTGCACCCATACTAAGTGAACCCTGAGCGTTTGCATCTGGGTACTATTACTTATCTAAGTGTGTGCGCGCGTGCGCATCTTTTAGTGAGGCAATCTAGCGAAAAACCGCGTAGAAAAGAATATGTGATCACCATAGCTCCAAGAGCAAAGAACCAAGAAGCCTAAAATTTTGCACCCATGCTAAGAGGACCCTGAGAGTGTGCACCTGGGTATTACTTATCTCATCCATGTACGTGCGTGCATGCGCATCTTTTTAATGAGGCAAGCTAGCAAAAAAAAAAAAACACATAGAAAAAAGTGGTTCCTTATATTACAAATAGAAATCACATAGACAGACACTCATGTGCGCAGTGTGCACTTAAATATGATTCCTTATCCATGTGTGTGCGTGCATAATGAGGCAAGCTAGCGAAAAAACACATAGAAAAGAATATGTGACAACCATAGCTCCAAGAGCAAAGAACCTAGAAACTTGAAATTTTGCATCCATACTAAGTGAACCCTAAGGGTATGCACCTGGCTATTATTACATATCTACGTGCGTGCGCGCATGTGTATCTTTTTATACGAAAAGCCACATAGAAAAGAAATGTGACTGCCATGGAATGTTAGAGTGTTTTAACTATTATGAGGTGTTATAATGTTTTCCTTTAACTATTATGAGATGTTATAGAATAATGTTTAAAACTATTATGTGATGTTATAGAATAATGTTTAAAACTATTATGTGATGTTATAGTGTTTTCTTTACTATTATAGA